CACCGTAGTCCCGCTGGGGAAAGGAGATATCAATGCCGTGTCATTGTCGCTGCAGTCGAACTGGTACTCCAGGGTGTGGTTGTCGTTTTGGTACACTAGCCAAACTGGCTGGTTATCCGCATCGGATCCCAGATCCTGGTGCTCTCCATACACGTCTCGGAGAATGGACCACATGCCTGTTTCCGTCGCAGTGCCGTTGGAACCGGGCAGGTAAATGTCTCGTGTCCTGTTAGATAGCTTCTGAACAAGCCATCCATCGTTCAACACGGGATATTGCTGGCGCATTTGGTACATGTGCTTGATGACGTTTCGCACAGGGTGCGACGGATCCCGGTGATCGTACGTGACTGCTTCGTCGTGACAACCTTCCAACGCTGCTTCGAGGGGCCATTGATAGTACTGAGACGACTTGAGACTGAAGCAACCATGCATTTTCCATGCGGTAGCAGGCGACATCGACTGACGTCCATAAATATAGTTGGAAGCTGTCGCATCCAAGACGTAGAATGCTTGTTCTTCTCCCCACAAAAGCATTGGAATACCGGGGAGATGCAGGGTCGTGATGAACAAAGCCAATAGTTGTCGCTCGACGCCGTATTGGATCGCTGGCCAACGGAAAACGTCCTGGTTGGTTGCGCCGTACATGTGTCTAGGGTCGAATTTACCCGTGTTTGCGTTGATCATGTCGTTAGACACAAGCATCAGGTTCCAGGCATCGGTCCAGTCAACGGGCGTGTCATAACCCGCAGCCAGGTTACCATCCATTCCCAGGAACCGAGTAAGGGAACGATACACTGAATAGTGGAAAGCCGCCGCATCGATAGCCTCGTGGCCATGCTCTCGCAAGAAGTATTGCTGGGACGACATATTGTTCATGGTAACCGCCATTTCAGCACTCTCGGGATACTGGTTGGGCTGCCTGCCACGGCCGAGATAGATGGAACCAAAGGTGTTTCCGCCTGTGATTTCACCAGCGATAAAGAAGTTTTCTTTACCGACTTCCCGGGCACACTCTCTGTAAGCGTTGGACATGTCTCCAAGGGCATCCACGGTGGCCTGTGTGGCTTTGTCGTAACGGAAACCGTCGATATCGAAAGCGCGGATTATCATGCAGGAGTGTCGGATCAGTCTTTCTCTAACGCTGGGGTTCCATTCACGGAGACGGTCCTGGACGGAGGCGAATTTTGCCAGCTGACGTTGCCAGTCCGGGAAAACACCAAAGGCCTCACGGTCACCGTATTGGTCAAAGTCACTGTCATAACAGCCTTTCAGTTGGTCTGTAACAGACGACTCGACTGGATAACCGTCTTCGAACCAGAATCGAGGATAATCGCAAGTTTGGTTGTAGGTGTTTCCAATATCGAAGTCGGCATACCGACGATCAGATTTCCAGAGTACTTCGTGCTCCTTGACTGAGAACGGCGTGGTTTCGTTCAGGTGGCCCTTGAAGCCAATCAGGTCACCCATACTATAGATCTAGTTAGTATGAGGTCTTCACAATCCTGTAAAGGATAGAGATGGATGAACTTACGTTGCGATGGTGTTGTCGAAAATGACGTACATACCACGGTTGTGAATCTCGGTGATTGCCTTTCTCCATGCGTCAATGTTGCCAAAGTGTTGATCCAACAATGTAGTATCCAAAGCCGAGTAACCATCCGAGCCCCATGGCTGGTTCATTAAAACCGTTCCTGCAAGGTAAATGGTCTGTTTATATTAGCTTCGTTCCACCATAACAAAGAGGAAAAGAAGCTGAAAGCTCACCTTGATGCCCATTCCTTGTAGGTAGTCTAACGTATCAACCAATCCAGCAACGTCACCACCATGACGCATTTGATTCGACTTCAAGTCGTGCTCGAAGAGGGTACCATTGATATTATCGTTTTCGGGATCGCCGTTGACGAACCTGTCCAGGAAGAGAGTATATACAGGGGCCCGCCAGTTATCCGGCGAGGGGAAATATGTGTGATCCGGCCAGTCAATCCAGTAGTCTGCGGGGTTGGTCGCGGTCTTGTTCTGGTTGAGATTGTATTGGAGGAAGGACTCATCGTAGGGCCAGCCCACTACTGTTGTTGCGAACAGCGCAAGCAACGCACTTGGAGACCCCACCCTCATGTTGGCGGCAGCACGATTGTACCGTGTTTATCGTTCTATGCGTTAGTCATGTGTCGTAATCGAGCGATGATAGATGATATGATAGAAATGAGTGAAAGAGACAGCGAGAGGTCGAGTGAGGACGTGATTTTAATATATCCAAGGATCCCGCACTCCGGTAGTGGCGATTCTGAAAAAGCTCACACGAGACCCAAAGTTAAACAAAAAACGAACGATGAGATACGAGTGGTTCAAAAATAAAAGACAAAAACGAGAGATAGTACGGTAGAGAAATAAATAAAGAAGGGAAAAGTTTCAGCAGAAGAGATGCAAGCCTAAAAAGATCGATCACTTGCAGGAAGAGAGATACAGAGAAGAGAAAAAGGAAGACAGATGATTAAGAGCGGTGAATGGTAACCTCCGAGGACCAGGCAGCGAGGGACTGATTGATCTTAGTTCGTCTTTGCTGAGCCTCTTTTCTTGCTCGGGTTCTGCTTCTAGCAAATGCTCTGGTCCGTAGGGATATGAGGGACCTTTCGGAGCATTGTGGGGATGGTCCATCTCGTTGGACACTAACGGCTCATGATGACCTGATTTGGTTCTTTTTATTCTATCTATTTCTATTTCAAGACAGGATCAAACTTAATGTTGGGGAAGGGCAAATTGACCCATATCGAAGCAAGACAGCCGAGGGAGAGCAAAAAAAAAAAAAAAAAAATACGTGATATTCGATCTGGTACGCTATTTACGGTATATGTGGGTCTGGTGGGCCCGGTTCGTTAGGTATTTTACACGGCGTTACCGACACTGGATGTATCCAAAGTTCGGACAATGCATTGCTTATCAGAATTGAAGAGCGGTGGAAGAAGACGAATTGAGATTTGATGGTAGTGTACCAAAACTGGAAATACTTGGAATGTTTTTTTGGAGGTACAATTAACCTGACATCTTCAGGTCTCCCTAACGTGCTTTTGATGTCAGGCAACGCAGATGACAATAAGCCCAAATTGGCAGGATGCTGCAGCAGTTGTCAATGTCTCGCTATCCGGCATCTGTATGATGCTGCTTCCGTATGGGTTATTCTTATCGCATCGTACTTGGCAGGGCTAGCTATGAAACCCAGCGAGTCAGCGTCGGCCAACCCACTTGCCGGATTGATTAGTTTTGCCATTTGTCTTGCATCCCTATCTTAGCGAGATATTAAATCTCCGGCCCAATATAATACGGCCTAGAGACACTTGATAAAACTACCATCTCGCCACAAAACGATAGTTTAAAAGAAAAAAAAAAAAAAGTCGTGCACTGATCCAACTCCCGGATATAGAAAGGTTATGGAATAATGGACGAACATGCGGGTGATAACCTGTCTAGGTCAATAAACCGAGCCCTACAAAACGCGAATAGTTGGAACTACAGATGATAAACCAATCGGGTCGTCGGAAACTCAGTTAGCGGTGACACCGGGCAAGGGTCCAAAACGGTTGTAATTACATGGCCAAAGTCCGGCTCCTTGCCGGGATAGTTCTGGGGGCACTGGAATTATCCGTTTTGAAATGCTTCGGAAGGGGTTCCTACTATCAGTAAATAATTTTATTGAGGCTGTACGTGGCTGTAAGGCACCTGGTACTTTCCCGGGTGCTGTACTCTGTACTTCAGATGAACGTGCTTCTACGCCGTATATAATCTTTTTCCTTTTGTTGTACTATTGCATTCCTGGTATGCACCCGCTTGGGTTCCGTATAGCGACATTTGAATTTTCCGTGTTCGTCGAGGGGCATCATCCGGTTAGGGCAAAAGAGATCAAATGAGTAAGTAGGAAACCAGAAAACGAAATCATTCAATGACGATATTCATAATAGCGATCATCGACGATCCGGGGATAACATCCAGCTTTATAGATTATTCGACTCCGTGCTCCATGTTCCATTTCCTGGAAAATTCAACCTGGCAACGAATAGGATCCCTTGCTTATAAGGCGGCCACATCGAATTTCTTCTAATTATGCACTAAATTGAATAATTGTTTTTCCGGATTGTACATGGCATGGGTGTAGTGTAAATGCAGTCTAATTTTCTAATCAATACACTAGGTTCTATACTCCGTACTGAGTATAATGTAGAGATAGTATCAACCTGCGGAAATTACAGGGTAATACGCAATACGAAAAAGTAAAATTAAACCACGCCAAATGGGCTTGACACCAACGCTAAGCCTAACTTAGCAACGATCCAAGCGCCAGGGACCGATTTCGCCGAGAAAATTCTCGGTTAGCGCCCGACTAGCGCGGCTCTCGATTCGGCAACAGCGCCGTGTGGACTTAGAGTGCTCCACTTAACCAGCAAATCGGTTCCTAAAGGGACATTGACAGCCAGCCCTTCATGATCGCTTGATGATCAGGATGATCACTTGGGGACGAACACCTTATCTTGCGGTGCCTTGGTCGGTATTTACCGTCCTGATATAATGTCACAAACTCAGCAAACAGTTTTTCTCTGGCCGTGCTCCCGGACTCTGCCAATTTCCGGTCCCTACCATCAAAACAGGAAAATGCTTTCGCTGGCGGCTCGTTCCGGCCGAACTATAGCCGTTTTAGTATTTCTGGCACCATCGTGACACTCCGAATGTGAGACCAGTTTTTCCCATCAGACCCACTTGTCGACCGGCGTTTTGATCCTGGCCAATCAGGGTCGGCAATATGCTAAAAACAGAGCAACGAGAAGAAGCTAGACTCAGAGGGGTACTAGCGAAGTACATTTCCGGAGTATGGCTCAATACCTGGCATAGTCAACACCGATATGGTGATGTCAACGACTGGCTAGCCTTTTTAATTTTCATGTCCGAAAGACTGCGCCACGGGACTCTAACTTTATGCATCACAGTTCAGCAGCTCATGCACTCGCACATGGTGGTCGGATGTGCTGTGTCAATCGATATTCCGTACATGGCATGGTATTCAAAGGCACAGATGACTGATATAATACTTAGAATTAGATAGCCAAGCTGTCAAGTGAATATCTCGGGCTATCATCTTAACAGACATAAATATAGCACTGCATCCATGCACAGTTCACAGGTACACAAATATATCTACTCCGCCCTTATGCATACCGAATTCCTAAATTTGAAGCAAAGGCAGTATTTTCCAAAATTGACAGTCCGTATAATTCACAGGTTTTATATCAAAAAAAAAAAAAAAAAAAAAAAAAAAAAAAAAAAAAAAAAAAATAATTGCATCTTGAACTGCATAAAAAGAAACCGGGATGAAGTAGATTGCATATATCCAGTCCAGATCTTTGAATGGGAGTATACGGCATTTCAGTACGATGCCACTGCTATATATAGCTGCTTTGATAACAGTCCAATTAGCATTTATCCAAACCCACTTGTCTACGAATCCACATGAAGTACTTCTAGACAGCATCATGTGCATGCAAAAGCTTAGGAGACAGGACCTATCACTACCTCGAAAGCCGCTTTGCCTTCTGAATGTGACAATACGAAAATATGCAATTCATTGGTATCATTTTCTTGATCATCCTCAGAGACATGTAGAGAATAATAATGGAGTTTACTCCGCTCCATAACGAGCCCGATAGTCCTTCAGCCGCTGCACCTCGCCCTCTCCAATCTGATTACCCAACTTCTCGATCAAGTCGTGGAGACCAATGACCGCGCGGATGGGGATGTTCTCACCCAAGTCTCTCTGGGCAACACCAACAGCGCTCTTGGATTCAGCGTCACTGACTCTCTCCTCCCGATCCAGCAGGATGACAACGCCCGACACAATACCTCCCTCCTTCTCAATTATACCCACGGCCTCGCGCAGCGCAGTACCTGCGGTGATGACATCGTCGACGATGACCACCCGCTTGCCCTTCAATGGAGCACCGACAATGTTTCCTCCCTCGCCGTGCGCCTTGGCCTCTTTGCGGTTGAAAGAGTAGCTGACGTTATCCCAGGTTCCCTTGGGTGAGGGGGACAGCGAGTCCCGCACAGCCAACTCGTTCACCACAGCGGCGCAAATAGGAATACCCTTGTAGGCAGGACCGAAGACGATATCGAAGTTCGGAGTCTTGGTGCCATCAACAGCGGTGCTGACGAAGGGTTCAGCAGCCAGGACGCTGGCGTAGGCGGCGGAGGTCGCGCGGAGCAATGGGGCCGTGTGCAAGAGCGACGAAGTGAAGAAGTAGGGAGATTCGCGGCCGGACTTCAACACGTAGGATCCGAAGGAGAGGACATTGTTGGACATCAGGAGCGGGAGCAGCGTCGCCTTGTAGTCCTGGTCCGCCGCGGGGGGAGGGATGGTTGCGGCCGACATAGTGTGGGCTTTTTCTTTTCGTAGACGAGGAACTTCCGGTCGTTGCTCAAAGAAGAGGCCAAGGGCGAATGAGGAGTAGAGTAATCAAGACAGTTGTGGGGGTAGAGCCGTGACAGTGGTGAATTGAAGATCAAGAGGCAGTTCCGTGAGATTTTTTTCTGGATTTCCCCATCCGGTATCGCAGAGGAATGAGGGGCTTTGCGACGCTCTCCGCCATTAGCACGGTATGTCTATGCGCATTCACTCTATATTCAAGTAAGGTGTATAGCTACGAGAATTAGATCATAAACATTCGAAAACTCTGCTAAATGCCTGAAGTTGCCGGAAAACCTGCTGCTAAGTAACACTACATCGGAGGCCGAGACCAGTCACGTGAACAACCCCTCCGCTCTCCGCTCGGGGGCATTCCCCGTCTCCTTTGCTCTTCTCTCCCTTTCCTCAATTCCTCTTTATTGTGCCTAGTTCCCGTTTTTCTTTGGGCTATCCTCATTGTTTGTTATCTTGTTCTATTTCTAGCCTGTGCAGTGCGGGGATTCTTGTCAGCACGTCCTTAGCACGGCTCGGACCGGAGAATTGCCAAAGTCCAAGCTATCCCGGAATTTTCTCCCAACAAGTTATTTTGGTAGGCTTGAAATATATACGCTCGAATCGATGTTGTAATTCACTTCAATTGCTGATTGATGCGGGATACAGTTAATTATTCGAAATGCACGTCAAGGAAAAGCTCGCCCAGAATGAGGCCAACGGGAAGACGGGTATCTCGTTCGAATTCTTCCCTCCGAAGACGGCCCAAGGTGTGCAGAACCTCTACGACAGAATGGATCGCATGCACTCTCTCGGTCCCGAGTTCATCGATGTCACCTGGGGCGCCGGTGGTCGACTGTCCGATCTGACTTGCGAAATGGTGAATGTTGCTCAATCAGTGTATGGACTGGAAACCTGTATGCACTTGACATGCACGGACATGCCGCGGGAGAAAGTAGATGCTGCTCTCCACGCTGCCTACAAGGCCGGGTGTACCAACATCTTGGCCTTGCGTGGAGACCCGCCCCGCGACAAGGAGCATTGGGAAGTAGCTGATGGAGGGTTCAGCTACGCGAAAGATCTTGTCAAGTACATTCGGGAGAAATATGGCAATCACTTCGATATCGGTGTGGGAGGTTATCCGGAGGGCGCAGACGACAATTCGGATGTTGATCTCTTGATCGATCACTTGAAGGAGAAAATTGATGCAGGAAGTTCATTTGTGATTACACAAATGTTCTACGACACGGACATCTTTATCAACTGGGTTAAGAAATGCCGGGCTAAGGGTATCACCGTTCCTATTCTCCCGGGTATCATGCCCATCCAAACATACGCAGCATTCCTCCGACGTGCAAACTGGACAAAGGCTCATATTCCTCAAGACTGGCTTGACGCCCTTGAGCCCGTGAAGAATGACGATGCAGCTGTGAGGGATATCGGAAAGACTCTAATTGCTAACATGTGCCGGCGACTTCTCGATTCTGGGTTGATCAAGCATCTTCATTTGTGAGTCATGCCATCGCATGTCCAGACAAAAAAAGAAGGGAAACTAACAGGAATGAAATAGCTACACGATGAACCTCCAACAAGCGACACAATTGGTCCTCGAAGAATTGAACCTTGTCCCATCGGAAGAGACACCGCTCCCAAAACCTCTCCCATGGCGGCCGTCGCTTGGTCTCAAGCGACGCGGAGAGGATGTTCGCCCTATCTTCTGGCGGAACAGGAACTCGTCTTACATTGCACGTACCCAGACTTGGGACGAGTACCCGAACGGCCGTTGGACCGACTCCCGATCACCTGCCTTCGGTGAGCTTGATGCATATGGTGTAGGCCTGAAGGGTACGAACGAGCAGAACATCAAGTTGTGGGGCGAACCCAAGTCTGTGCAAGACATTACGACCATTTTTGTTCGCTATTTGAAGGGCCAGCTGGCGCGACTGCCATGGAGTGACACCGCCATCTCAGGGGAAGCCGATGCCATCATGGAAAACCTGATCAACCTCAACAGTAGAGGCTTCCTTACAATTAATTCGCAGCCTGCTGTCAATGGTGCCAAGTCCTCTCACCCAGTGCATGGATGGGGTCCAAAGAACGGCTACGTCTACCAGAAAGCATACCTTGAGCTGTTGGTGCCCAACGACGTGGTTGATGAGCTGATCTCGCGCATCGAGAAGAACGCAGACCTGACGTACCACGCCGTCTCGAAGACCGGCGGGCTAAGAACGAACACTCTTGACAGTCCGAATGCGCTGACATGGGGTATTTTCGCGGGACGCGAGGTCATCCAACCCACGATTGTGGAAACGGTCAGTTTCCTGGCCTGGAAGGATGAGGCCTATCGTCTGGGCGAGGACTGGGCCAAATGCCATGACGCCGCCAGCCCAAGTAGGAAGTTGATCCAGAACCTCGTGGACAACTGGTCCCTCGTCAACATTGGTATGTTCTCTCTGGACTTTTTGAATGCCGTGTAGATGCTAACTTAAAAACAGTTAACAACGATTTCCACAACACTTACGATATCTATAAATTGTTTGATGGCTTGAACGTCAAAGATCTTGATGTTGAAGTCTCCGGGGATGCACCGGTACCTCAACAAAACGGAGCATCAGCTAAGGCTGCTGCAGCCAACTAAATGACCACTGCGGAACACCGATCCTCGGATAGCATTCAATGCTCGATATGAATGCCTTTGACCGAGAAATCCCTACTTTCAACCACTAATGCTATATTAATTCAACATCTATCTCAACGATATCAAGCGGACTTACAGGCATTGCAACGTGTTTATGGTGGCATGACCGAAGACCTCTCAACGATTTCTTCTTAGCGAGCGATTTGACTTCAACAACATATACCCCCGCATTATTTTTCTTTGACGATTACATTCAACATAATTATTCTTTCTTCTCTTCCGATAGACGGAAACAGATTACGAAGAGGGCTGGTTTATTCAACACTACGGATCCGACGGAGTTGGGTTGCAAATGTGCATGGTGCTTCAAAAAGTGTGATCCTCTTCAACACGGGATATGGAGTCTGTTTGGATGGTTCGATGTATTTTCTTCGATGCATCTCTTGTTTCTTGGTTATGTATATTGTCTATTTCGCAGACTACTTGGCAAGGTGCGATGTGGTGGGCAGCAGGGGCGATAGAAGTCTGTGATACGGATACCTCTGAATAAGATACCTATAGAAAACAACTAAAGAACATAAGCTGTTTTATTTTTCTTTAATGATTTTTGCAAGTGATTGGGGATACACTAAAGTATTTTCCTCCATAGTTCCATGTGCGTCCTCGCAGATCCCTCATATCTTCAACATCTTCAACCACCAGCTACCTGCAAAAGCTATCAACTGATAAAGTGAATTTCTACGAAGAGTCTCTCATCGCAGCCCTTTAATAATATAATGAATTTTTAAGCGTACAGACTCTCGTCTACTGTTATCCCCGCACGGGTCGATCAGGCTGTCAGCCTTGCGAACACCGCATTTATGCTGATTATCGCAAAATGGAGATTAGACAAGGCTGAGAAAAGGGCCATTATTTGTTGCCTCGTCTGTATACATTTCTATTATTATAACAATCCCACAGCCAAACATTCCGCTTCATGTATAATTACTGCATGCGCTTATCATGACATTTGTTGATTAACATCCCAAGTACGCTTTTGCTGGCTGCAAGTAATTTTAGCATGGTGTGTTAACAGCCCATGATTTCAATACATATGTTCCTATACGAACTTGATTTTCTAGAGCGACCGTGACTTTCCCCTTCTGGATGCCACCGCTTCTATGAGGGTGCTCAGGGGCTTGCTCAGTGAATATTTTCTGTTACAGGTCGGTACTCAGTGAGCTCTCAGGGCCTACTCAGGGCGCGCTCAGTGGTCAGTCACGTGCACACTGAGTTGCCCTCTTTATGTTGCGCAAGTAGTTTGATCATAGTGCCATTTTCACCATCCCAAATACCCACGCCCGTTCCTGGAGCCCATATTGAATGACGCAAGCTAAAAACTAATGGGCTTTAAATCTTACTTGAGTGGAAAATTGTCTGGAACAAGTGTACATATCTGTTGACCATAATAAATGAACTGGACATCTAGATTTCGATGAAGCTATAAGTACGTGTTTGTCCCTACCATTTGAATGCTTTGTGGTCCATGAGAGTTCATAGTTATACCAAGCATTCCTTCCCTCATTTTGGCCTTGTCAACCCTGCCTCTGCTATAATTGCCTTTTATTTTATACTGTTGTTTCTTCGTTATTTGCTGACCATGGGCAAAAGATTCTTTTGGTGTGGTGAAGATGCTCAGGAGAAGTGGTGTGAGCATTGTCTAGAAAGTGGCTATATCTCAAGAGCCCATGAAGAAGAAGGCACTAAATGGGGGGAATATGACTGTAAATGAAACAAAGGAACTACACCATCAATATGTTGTTCTTTTTACAGAGTGGGTTTTGCCACCGACCACTCATAAAGTCTGGACGTTTAACTCACATTGTATCAGGCAACACGCTCGTTTAGCATTGTCAGCAGATGAAGAGAAGGCTATGAAGCAGAGGCTTATTCACCGCCATCTAGGCCATCCAGGAAAGAACCGATTCAATAATTGTGTTGAATGGATGGATATGGATGATCTGAAGATCAACAAGCGAGATCGATTGCTGGATGGTAGCTGCGAGGCGTGCGTCAAGTCGGAGCAGGTGAAGAAACAGAGTCATGTTCCAATCTCACGAGCAAAAAGACCACTGCAACGCGTCTATATGGAATTTTGGGGTCCTAGTCGAGATAGCATGGGTGAAGAGAAGTATTATCTCTCACTGATTGATGATTGTACACGTTACTCATGGATGTTCCTGAAATCTTCTTGAATGAAATCCGGCCTATCGGCATGGGCTTCTCGCTGTTCGGTCAGTTTGCTTGCAAGTACAGCCGCCATTCCATGTTGTTATGTCTTGACTAACAACACCAGCTACCCCCATTCTGCTCCAGACCGCGTCCATGGGCTTCAACAAAATGTTGGTTGGAAGTACTGCTTCGTGATTATCTGCTGGTCCGCTTTCTTCATTCCGGGTATGCTGTCCATCTCTACCACCGCGTCACTAGCCGCTAACGTTCACAGTCATCTATTTCTTCTTCCCCGAGACCGCCCGCCTGATCTCGGAAGAAATAGCCAAGAACTTTGGAGAAGAGGTCGCTGTCCACATTACTGATGCGACTGACGCTGAGAGGGCCGAGGTTTGGTCGACAAGTCACCCAGCAACCTCCGACGTCAGCCTCCGGAGAAAGCGAGGGAGAAACGGCGAAGGAGACAGAAGCGCCAAAGGTTGAATAAAGAGACACCCAGGCGGTTTCTCTAGGCTTATCAGTCAGAATTACTTACGCCGGGTCCGTGACGTCCTCAGGACTGGTCATAATTGTATGAGAAGCTCTCGGGCTTCTTGCTGGCTAGTCGCCGCTAGCTATTGCTATCGAGTCTGGTGTTATTCATCTGGGGGTGATAACGTATTCCACGGGCGAGCGGCGCGCACGGGCGAGCGGCGCGTTTTCCCCGCGACCACCAAATATTCGATTAACTACCTCCTTCAACATATTATATCTTCACCATTTCAATCCATAATGCCTAAATCTCAAGAATCTAACATTCAAATGGCTATATCTGCCTATAATTCGAAAAAAATCAAGTCAAAAAAGGAAGCTGCCAAGGTGTTTGGGGTATCTGAAACTACTCTTCGCGAGCGGCTCAAGGGAAGAAAACCACGCACAGAAACACGCGCAAATAATCATATATTATCACCTATTCAAGAAGAAGTCCTTGTTAAGCAAATACTGAATGCAGACAAACGTGGTTTTCCAATTCGTCCGGAGTTCCTACGTCAAATGGCTCAGATACTGCTTCAAAAACAGACCCCTACCTCTACTCCAAACATAGGAGTCAACTGGGCATCTACTTTTGTTAGACGCCATCCACAACTGCGGACACGGTTTAATCGACGAATACCATACCAGCGGGCGAAGCAGGAGGATCCAAAGATCATCAAACAATGGTTTAATATGATATTAGAGACGATTCAAGAGCATGGTATCCATGAAGATGATATCTGGAATTTTGATGAGACTGGCTTTGCAATGGGTCTCTGTACAACGTCAAAGGTTATTACTGCAGCTGAGCGCAGTGAGCAACCACGTACAGTCATCCAAGGAAACCGTGAGTGGGTCACAATCATTGAATGTGTAGGGTCAAATGGATGTTCAATTCCTCCGGTGGTGATCCTCAAAGGGAAGGAGCATCAAGCTTCTTGGTATCAAGGATCAGCCCTCTCTCAAGATTGGAGGCTAGCCACAAGTCAGAATGGCTGGACTACTGATATAATGGGCTTACGCTGGCTTAAAGAGGTGTTTGAGCCATATTCCAAACACTATTCAGTTGGTTCAAAGCGGCTACTTATACTTGATGGCCATAGTAGCCATTTAAGTGCAGAGTTCGATGGATTCTGCAAAGAACATGCAATCATTTGTCTCTGTATGCCACCTCATTCATCTCATCTTCTTCAACCACTAGATGTTGGTGTTTTCGGGCCATTAAAGCGTGCATATGGGAAGCTAGTTGAGGGAATGATGATCGCTGGCAACAACCATATTGATAAGGATGATTTCTTATCTCTCTATCCATCTGCACGCGAGAAGGTCTTTACCAAAGAGAATATCTATGGTGGCTTTGCTGGAGCAGGGATCAAACCATTAGATAAAGAAAGGGTTCTCTCAAAAATTACCTTTCAACTGCGTACGCCAACACCACCACTTCTGACTGAAGGGTCAATATCATCTGCATTTCAGACCCCTCAAAATACTCGCCAACTTGATCATAAGATCTACGATCTACAGAGAAGTCTTAATAAGAAAAGACGGCTGTCGAGCAGCCCTGTATCTCACCTTCAACATCTTGAGAAATCTGCACAGATGGCAATGAATATGAATCTACTTCTTCACCAAGAAATCAAAGTTCTACGGACAGAGAATGAGCGGAAGATGACGAAGAAAGCACGCAGGCGTGGTAACCTAGGTCAAGATACTATGCTATCTATACAGGAAGGTCAGGAGCGTGTTCAGCAGCTTGATAGAGTGGTTGAAGCAGAGGTCGAAGCGGATATTCAACGGCCACGCCAGCGAGCTCCACCACGCTGTAGTGGCTGTGGGACTATTGGACATATTATACGCAGTTGCCCTAGTAAATAACTACATGTTCAATTACTAGATAGTCTTAATTTACTGATTTTTTCAAATTACAAGCATGTTGATGGTTGAGTATTTGGTGGTCGCGGGGAAAACGCGCCGCTCGCCCGTGCGCGCCGCTCGCCCGTGGAATACGTTACGATTATATCTTTATGTAATCTTGTTCCGATGTTCTTATTCATCGGCAGAATATGACTGAATGTAAGTGACTCTTGATTCCGTTATATATAATTGACCAGTACAACAAGATTAAAGAATGATAGGCTCAAGATGCTAATGCGTCTTGTCTACAAGCTTCATGACTTTGTTCCCAGTCTTGCTCTTCTCGAACTTCTCAATTCCGTCCACAAAGGTAATCTGGAAAAGATGACGATTCTCCGGCAGAACGAAGAAGAACCACTCTATCTTCCGAACGAGAGCCTCTTTGGATAGTGTATCTCCCTTGTCTATTGCGCGAAGTATGCGGACTTCTAGTGTTGTCTGCAGGGATGAGTCTAGGGTACTGAGTATGATTTGCCATTGCAAAACGCCAGTTCCCTCGGCTTGCACCATGGCTGCAACGTTTTCGAATTCATAGTAAACGCCATACCATTTGAAGCTGAACCGGCGATCGCGGCCGTGCAGGCGAAGAACGCGAAGATGATCCCAATCCTCCTGGGCGATAACGTCACGGGCACTCTCGGGCAGGGCATGCAGAGAACCGATATCGCCCGTGTTATAGCGGACAACCGGATTGCGCAGTCGTTGTAGAGAAGTTTGGACAACAATACCAGGTTCTCCATTTGGTACAGGGCTCGCAGCCGACGGTGACGCTTCGTCTATGATCGACGGGGGAAGAATTTCGATAAGCATAGTCCGGGTGTCGAAGATAAAGTCCATTATCGGAGTACAGGCATGCCCGCCAGTGAGATCAGGACTTCCGATGGCATAGGGACCGGCTTCAGCGCTCCCGAGAATAGAGCAGATTTTAACCGGCCCAAGAGTCGCGATGATGTGCTCTCTTTGAGCCTGAGTCAGGGGCTCAGATGTGTAAATTACCTTATTCAGCCTGACTCGCTGCCTTTGCTCCTCCGGTAGCATTGATATATGGTGGATCACCTGGATGATCTGGCTGCCATCTCCAGTCAAAACGTTGACATGGTAGTGGGCCAGATACTGGACAACTTCGATTGGGGTCATGTAATTGCCACAACTTAAAACGGTTGCTCCAGCATTCTCGAAAAGCTCACTCATGAGGTCGAGAGATCTAGGCCCTGTTGGTTAGCCTGGTCAAGGTTAATCAGGGCCAACAAATTCAGCGGGCTACCGTACCGGTACAAGTAACCTGATGCATGGGTCGTAAGGACCCAATCGCCCGGACCAACAAGTCCACATGCCGCCATGAACTCGCCGAAAACTGCTCTGTGTCTGCGATTTTCCTTTACATCCGTGGCGAACATCAACGGTAACCCACCGGAACCGCCGCCAGTGATACTGATGTAGGAACGGAGTCGGTAAACATTGTCTGGGCTTGTATCATGGGTCAGATGCTCAATGACCTTGTAACTAAAGGTAACATGTCAGTGGAAGATAGACAACTGGCGAATGGTAAATGTACAGATCCTTTTTAGTGACCATAGGTCGAGTACGAAGATCGACTTCGGTTGCAGGCTTTGAGGCAGACCGTCGAGCATATTGAATTGCATCATGTCCAGGAGGATACTGGACGCCCGGATTATAAAAAGGGTGAATGTTGGCCACTGCCAGGACCTCAGCTAAGCGGTAAGATTCAGTGTGCATTGTGGGAGACTCGTCTTGAAAAGGATTGTTCACAATAAATGAATACAAGAATATCTGTATGTGATTAGTTGCCTTTTTAATACCCATTCCAGCGAATTGTATGAAACACAAAATGAAGTGTGCACAAGCAGCTGCATCACATCTGATCGGTCCAACTGGATATTACACCATCGATTAGGTACGAGCCAGGCTCAGCTGTTGAACTCCGCATATACCCAAATAGGTGCATACCCCGGGAAGCACGAAGTATTGAAGGTTGACCGCCAATTGGAACCTACAAGTAAATTTCGCGATGATCCTTACCGACCGCAAGCCCAGGATACTGGAGACAGTAGCAAAGATGGCCAGCAGCAAACTCTTTCCGGACAATACAGTCAAGGAGTTCGTCATCCGCCAAATTCCTGATCTGGAAGAGTCCGAAAATGACGCTAAGTAAAACAGGCCTTTCTTCGTGGCTGATATACATGAAGTGATGCGGGGCTAGATGCTGCGCTTCCTTCCCAATATCGTTGCTTTCTACGGCTAGTCCATACTCCTCGAGTTGAGGTAGTACGGAGTATACAGTATTGCGGGATAGCTGTGAAATACAATCAAGACCGTCGTCTTCTCCGACACCTGGCAGACCTTGGGCTGGGATTTGATTGCGCTTCCCTGCCGGAGATCGAGATTGTTCTGAGCCTGGGAATTGACCCGACCAGGGCCATATTTGCTCATACGTGCAAGCCGGAGCGCCATTTGGGTCCCCCTGCGATTTTTGATAATATCGATGAGCTGGACAAGATCAAACGGAATGCCCCGGCTACATCTAATACGTGGGCAAGAGCAATGTGCTGACATACTGGGCTGGACCCCGGAGCCTCGAATCCCAAGGCATTTGTGACAGCTACACGGCATGCCTTACAATTTCTCCGACAGGCAAAACAGCTTGGATTCTATATAAACATTTTTGACGTGGTTGGAGGCTTCTAGAACACCAATTTCGAAAAATGGCGGTGACCCTTCGAAGTGCGGTGTTTGAAACTTTTCCGGTTCAATAAAATGAGTGCAAAGCCAGGCAGATTCCTTGCGCAAGGCTTCTACCCAATTACATACAAGGTCATTGCCCGCAGGAAGCAGGTCGGAGAAGTCCGATCGAAGGATTTGAATATGTTAATATCGCAACGATGGGCTCTACGGAAGCTCTATGAATGCCCTAATCGAGAACGCAAGGTTCGTACCAAGTATTGTCCAACTACTTGCTCTGCCTGGGCCAAACCGCTCCATTGGGGAGCATCGGTATACTACTTGGGGCCCGACTGTAGACCAAGTCGTGTGCATTGCTCGCGAAATACGATGGGCTGAGGTGAAGGACGGGGATTGACTGAAATACGAGATCATGTGTAGTAGGTCATGTATGATAAAAAAAAAAAAAAAAAAAATGAAAGAGAGAGCGAGAGACAAAAGTGACAAGAAGCTAACTGTGGTAGCGTACAGTGTGGCCATTTTCATTACCTTGACCGGGCCCTCCAATCAGTACGTTGTCGTGTATACTGGGGTGGACGAGCAATAAGTATTATCGCAAGTATTCTACTTCAAGTGTGTTTATTTTATTCTGGCACATGATAAATAGGGAGTAGACATTGAATTAAATCTTGAACGTCCTAACCTCTAGTGTACGTCTACAATTGCGGAATTGGCAAGTTGTTTAAATGCATATTCCCGTGCAAAAGGCTACATATTAAGTTTCGTGCTCTATATAGTTGAAAATTCCGATATCGCATTTTATGAGGAGCCAGGGAAAGGTACCGCATTCCAACGTATCCGACGCAAATGACGCATAGGATCACGCACCGCATTCCGTGCATGTAGCCACCGCCGGTTATCCATGAGCAGTATTGATCCTCGAGGCATGCATCCTGAAGTGAGATGAAGCGTCTCGGTCATTGCTTCTGTTCCAGTCAAGCATTGCTTCAGCTCACTCAATGCCTCCGATGCATCTGTGTTCAAAGGGGCGAGGATCTCCTCACGGAATCGCAGCATGCTCGGACGCCCCGTTCCATCCGCGGCCAAAATATTCCCAACAATATGCCGTTGATGCTCGAACTTTATGAACTCCGCAGGAACATCTATCCGGAATTGTGGCTTGAGAAGTGCGGCAGTCGTAGATGGCGAAAGAAGACGGAGCAATCGGTCAACTCTCATGACTGAAAGTGTACCGCCACCCTGGCGGTCGTGTTGGAGGACCTGCAGCGCGAAATAGCCGGGAGGAGACTCCTCATAGCTGCAGTCGGTATGCCACGGAAAGTCCTGCATGGTCTCCGACCGGGCCTGGTGACTGTGGCTTTGGAATATGGTACCGTTTGGCCGGACATCCCAGAACCAACCACGAGCTGCACTGTGGGCAATAGGTAAGGTATGGCCATGGCTTCGGTGAAGACCGTAGACCAGATCTTGTAGATATCGACTTGTATCGTCCGGAAAAGCAAGATTGACCTTAAGGATGCCGTGTTCTCGAAGATGATTGGATACATCTCGGACATGTCTCGGTTGGCGAGCATAGCTGAGATCGCGTGCTGTTAGATTTGGCACCAGCTTTGATACTCCTTTGAAAGGGGGTCAGCATTTATATCTATACCATTACAATAGTCTGTTTTGAGCATAGGCAGTGGACTAACGGAGAAAAGAATCGGTTGGATCAATTGCTTTGGTATTGCGGGCAATGTGATGCATCGTGAATAGCAGAGCCCTGCTTGTAGAATAAGAATATGTGCACAGATGATAATGCCTCAGATTGCAAAGCTTCTGCCATGGCAAGAGGCGACCACTAAATACAGGTACAGAACCGAGGCATGAATCAACGGCGAACGCCCGCCTCAGCTCCTCACTCCTTTATGGTGGATATTGTGCTCAGTTGCTGGAATGGAGAAAGTGTGCACTCCACCACCGCTACAGATCAGCTGCGGGTAGCCTCGCGCTACATACTCTGTGCTCGATCCCGCGTTTCGTTGATGTACTGCTATGTAAGGTGTAAGGTGCGATATACAAAGAAAAGTGGAATGTATTGAAACTTAACTTATTGAAGTAAATAAACATAAAAGACCAACGCTGCCTCATGGAATGTATCGAGATCGAAGAAGACTATTTACTCATCTTTGATGACCGTAGACATCCATGCACCCCCGTGGCTGATAGCACAGATTCGATCTGCGCTACTACGCCACACACCTAGACCCAGGTACTCACCGGCAGTTGAGTGGTATGTCCCAATGAGTGGATATTTCACTTTCTCTCCTGATCCCCTCAACACAACATCATACAGCAACTGTTTGATTTTCCGCTGAACGACGTAGAGGCGTTTGCTGTCCAGTTCCGGGCATCGCAAGTTCTCCAACTCAGACACCCACGCAGCCGAGGTGAGATCTTCGCCAAAAATAATCCCATTTCCCTTGCCGCTCCGTATTGGTTTCAGGATATATTCGGCTTTGAGATCAGGGCATTCTCTGGACGATCGGAGCAACCAACCTAGTTCCGTTGATCCCGGGAGGATTGTGTCTGCAATTCCCTTATCCAGAATTTCGGCTTGGGCTGGTGTCAATACCCCTCGCTCAGTCAAAGGCCCGAGTTCCTGCTTGATAATACCGAGCATCCGTTTATCATGAACAAGCAAGATGGTACGCATATCGTTGAAACATCGAAGGCTGAGTTGGCGTAACATCTCTGGCTCCAGTGCCAGAAGCTCCCGCTGATGAAGCTCCAAGCCTACCTGATGTATCTCTTGCAGACGCTCTCCGATACTGTTAGTCAGCTTCGAGGTTTGCAAAGCCGAGTTATCGATGGTTTTTACTATGCAGCACAGTTTATACTCTCCCTCCCGCTCTGCATCGGGTAATAGCCGTAGCTCTGAGGGCGTAATAAAACGAGGGGTGATTCCCAGATTCTGCTGAAGGTATTCGACAAATGTGTGAATATCCATACCGGGCTCCTCGCCTTTGAGAAGGTACAGGGGATGATCATGCCGGAAAAGGCGCAATAGTCCTCCTAGGATCTTGTCCGGTTCGGTGGCGCACACCACGCCGTTATTCTCTTTGGCAACGCCGATATCCCGCAATGCCTGAGATCCGTGTGCAGCAAACATAAAACCGTTAAATGAAAACCGTGCGTTGATTTCGCTGACTCGGACGCTCTCTACAGTGGTGGAGGTTTCTTCGCCGCTCTCCTGTTCTAGAAGGAAGTCCGGTCGCCACGACCCTAGGCGCTCCCGGAAAGGAGCAAGAGTCCCAGAATCCTGACTGTCTATCCACTAAGAGGAAGTTAGAGTAGAGTATATAGTTTGTAGGTGACATAGGGTTCTAGCGTACTCGCAGGAGATCTTCTTCCTTCGACAATAATGGCATGCGCTCGGGGAAACGCGCGACAGGATCCTGCCACCAACGCTGGACAATATCAACGATGGCCAAGACCAATGCTTCATGAAGATCGGAAATCTGTTTTTCATGCTGGCGGGTGACAAGAATTGGCAATGGACAGTAGGCAGTATGAGAGTTTTTGCCCCATTTTTCGGCTGGACACAGGCGCTCAAGGCTCGACTTGGCAGTCTCCTGGTCTCGCGCAAATATGGAACTCTTCACGTTGAAAGATGCAATTGATTTGTAGCTCTTGCCGTTGCGAGGGACGTAAACTTGTTGAAGCCGGTGCGACGGCGTGGTATCCATTGTGTATAAAGCTTTAGACAATTTTTGGGAGAGAGCGACAGAACACATACGCATAAAATAATGAGCGCAACAATCAAAATTTAAAGGTATTGTCGTCATTTTGCTGTATGTACACAGCATCTAGGCTATATTAGGTACGCTTGTGGTGCATGCTATACACCACATGCATCACCGCAATAGACCAGATCTCGTGGAGCTGAACCCAGCTGACGACGATTGAACCTACATCAAATAAAATTCCGATCTTCGGAATGAACACGCAAGGGTGCAGATAGATCCTCACATGTATTCCATAAATGCCTCACCTACCAGCCGTAGGCAGTCCTGTGTGGTTGCTCTGCATTGTTATTGAGATTGTACGGCCTGTCGGTGTGCGTCCGGCTCAGGTGTTGCTCGGACCTTGTAGCTAATTTGTTTGGGTCACGAAAATAGTTCCTGATTCTAACGGTGCTCACGAAGACTATATGCTGAATTGATCGCTACATGCGCAACTTTAACAACTAATGGATTATTTACACGCTACCTCTGTGGCCGTTTGTGTTACAGGCCTTGCCATCGTTTTCTTGCTTAGTATATTTGCGCTGAGACATATTGTATTCTGGGCATGTCAGCGGGCATCCAATGCCTATCGGCCACTGGATCATTTGTACCACGATGCGGACGGTGAAGCAACAAAGATTTCCATGCAAACAGCTTCAAAGCCAGTCCTGCGTCATGTCATAACCACCTGCGTCGTTATAGGAGAGTTGGCCTCTTTAGTTGAGGCGACTTTTACGATTCTTGGATCCCGTTTTACATACATCGGTGTCTGGTTGAGACTGGCGGCATGGGTAAGAGAAGTCCTGGTATTCCCAAAGCTTTCTAGATGCTGACAGCAATCACGCAGACACTAGTCCTGCTTCAGTGTGTTGCATTACTCGTCCAGCCTTCCTGTGCCCTCCAGTTCTCTGTTGGATGGAGGACAGGACTAAGTAGTTTGACCATTTTGTCTCTGCTTTGCACTGAGGGGTATGTGCAATATCTCGCCAATACACTAAACCCATGGCAAATAACACTGGGTACAACAGAGGCCGTCGCTTGCTTCTTGGTTGGATTCTTTTGCCTTTTGATTCCGCGACGACCGGATGTTGTTCATAATGGCCTTGTTGTCGATCGGGAGTACACAACCAGTCTGCTGGGCTGGGCTACCTTCTCTTGGGTCGGAACATTGTTGAAAGAGAGCAAAAGAACTTCCGATCTCTCGATCAAAGACCTCCCGGAGCTCGATAGCAACACTCGTGCAAACACAATTTACAACTCGCTCAAAGAAACCATGCCGAAAGGCACGGCTTTTACATCCAAGGATATATGGAGATTTCTGTTTCGATGCAACAGCGTACCTCTCATAATTCAAGGCGCTTTGACAGTTGTATTATCGGTATTAAGCTTCCTGCCACAACTTGCATTACTGGATATCCTGCAAAAGCTGGAAGGTCCACAGCGAGACGAGAAAGGAATTGGTCTTTGGCTGCCTGTTGCAGGACTTGGAGTGTCCGTTCTGGCGTCGGCCATGCTGGAGACAGTCAAGTATTGGATCTCGTATAACAAGCTTGTTGTTCGTATCCAGCAGCAACTGACATTGGCTATATTTGACAAAGCTGTTCGACTGGATCGATCCAGCAGCTGGTCGAGGACTGGACAGAAGAGGGCAGAGAAGGAAACAATGGACGATGCGAACAGACCCCAGAGCCCGACCAACATCGTCAGTGTTGATGTCAAGAATATTGCTGACTTTTTTTGTTTCTTCTTCCTCCTATACGAATCACCGCTGAGGCTTGCAATTGCGTCAGGATTCCTGATCAGGCTGCTAGGGTGGAGGAGCTTGCTGGCCGGGTTTGTGGTCTTGCTTCTGCTGACTGCCGGTAATGTACACACGGTGCGCAAATATACCGACAAGCAAGGATCTGTGATGGAGCATCGGGATCGTAAACTCCGAATGGTGAACGGGGTATTTCAAGGGATCCGTCAAGTCAAGTTCTCGGCCCTAGAGGGCAAATGGGAGGAGGCAATTAACCAGGTCCGGGACCGAGAAATGCGAGGGCAGCGGGCGGTTTGCTTTTGGCAGATTGCGCTTATTTCGATTTATTTCGTATGCCCGATCATGCTGTCTGCGACGTGCCTTTCGGTATATGTGATAGTCTACGGCACACTGTCTGCTGCCACGGCATTCACAGCCATCGCAGTTTTAAACGCCGCGGAAGTCTCCATGACCATCCTTCCGGACGTCATCACAACACTACTGAGTGCTTCTGTCAGTATCAATCGAATTCGCTCCTACATCACACAGTCTGAGCGAGAAAATTATGTGATTACCTCCGATACAGTTTGGTTTGAAGACGCGGCGGTTGCATGGCCTGGATGCCGCGATGCTAGCGGTGGGGGTGCCTTAAAAGGCCTCAATTTACAATTTCCCCGAGATGCGTTAAGCATCGTGACCGGCCCAACGGGTGCCGGAAAAAGCCTTCTACTCGCTTCCATCTTAGGAGAAAGTGATGTGCTCTATGGGACTGTATCAGCACCGGTAGCGGCTTGCTTTGACGATTTATGCTCACCTTCACCGTCGGAACCGTGGGTCACCTCGTTAGCAATTGCGTTCGTGTCTCAGTCGCCCTGGATGCAGACGGGTACCATCAGAGACAACATTCTGTTCGGCCTCCCGTTAGAGGAAAAACGTTACACAAAGGTAATATTTGCATGTGCATTACAACAGGATTTCAACATGCTCACTGACGGTGACCTGACGGAAATCGGTGGGCAAGGCGCAACTCTCAGCGGTGGCCAGCAATGGCGCATTTCGCTCGCGCGTGCCCTATACTCACGCGCTGGGACGTTGCTCATGGACGACATCTTCAGTGCAGTAGATGTTCACACCCAGAAGCACATGTGTCAGCACGCACTAACTGGTGAACTGGCGCGTGGACGGACGTGTATTCTGGTGACGCATCATCTTGATCTTTGTTTGGCGTATGCTAGTTACATCGTCGTGCTTGACCAAGGTGTTCTAAAACACGCGGGCCCTGTATTATCTGCGCCGGGAAATCAGTCGTCTGGTTATGAGAATGCAGATTCACAATCACACGCAAGCCACATACAGGATACGACACAAATTACAGCAGATGATGAGAATCATAAGTCCCAGGACCTCCGGACCGACATTCATACTGCAGGCCGGGTTTTCATCAGGGAGGGCGGCAAGACGTCCCATTGGTTGTTGCTGGGCGTCGCGTTCTTCGGATACGGGGGTTTAATGCTGGCAAGGGTATGGTTCCTTCACGCTTACAGTTTTAGCGTTTGCTGACGATGATAGTCTTGGTGGGTTCATGTATGGACGGACAGGTATCAATCGCGTACTGACGATCAAAATGGCAAACCGCATCTTTTATACTATCTTGGTGTCTATATCGGTATCTCAGCACTGACTTGTTTGTTCGGTATATTTCGCACATATTTCTCACTCTCTACAGCCTTGCGTGCCTCCCAGAAGCTGTTTCGGCATCTCTTATTTGTACTACTGAGAGCCCCTCTTCATTGGCATAATTCTATCCCCTTTGGGGCGGTCCTCAGTCGATTTTCCAGCGATTTTGCTATACTGGACACAAGAGTCGGGGACGACCTGCAAGCGACATTGGAATTCACTATGAATGTCATGATTGCTATTCTCGCGGGGTCCATAGTCAACCCAATAATGATCATCGTAGCTACTTGTTTTCTAGGGGTGTACATATGGTTATCGGGCGAGTACCTCATCGCCTCACGGAAAGTGAAGCATCTCGAAAACGAAGCGAAAGGCCCCATCCTTGAGCATATCGACGCGGGCATCAATGGAATATCGACTATTAGGGCCTATGGACAAGCCGGTCTCTATGTCCATCAATTTCAGGCCAAGGTGAATGATCACGCGCGAGCGTTTTGGCATCTGTGGTTGTTGAATCGCTGGCTGGGCTTCCGAATCAACTTCCTCGGCGCAGCTTTCTCTTTCCTGTCCGCTGCATTCGTTGTATCGCTGCCCGGAATTGACGCTTCGACAGCTGGGTTTGCCATCAGCTTTACCATCGACGTGTCTCTCTCCATGGCCTTAAGTATCCGGCGTTATGCCAACCTCGAACAGGGCATGGACAGCGTTGGAAGAGTCCATTCATACAGCAACCTGGATATCGAAAACTACAACGGCTCAGACTCTTCATCGGCGTGGCCCGCAGATGGTACTCTCATTATTCGTGATTTAGTTGTCCGCCACGCGCCGCATCTGCCTCCAGTGCTAGATAGTGTTAGCTTTGAGGTGCAAAAGAGTGAGAGGGTTGGCATAGTCGGGCGCACTGGAGCCGGTAAATCCTCCTTTATCTCAGCGTTGTTTCGATTCTTGGAGGCGTCCGAGGGTGAGATTTTAGTGGACGGCATTGACATCTCAACGCTCAAAATCGACCAATTACGGCGGCGGTTGGCCCTTATTCCCCAACAACCAATTCTTTTCCAGGGCACGATTCGATCAAATCTGGATCCATTCAACGAGCATGATGATAATGATCTCCACGCAGCACTGAAATTATGCTCTTGGAATCAGGTAACGCCCAGGTTCCATGGCGCTTCAACAGAGAGCGCATGCAGGTCGTCCGCTGAGACGGCATTTGCAACCGATTCTGACGCTGTCGAAGATGATACAAAGCGTCTGCTCCCCGGCAACTCGGTATCTATATTGGGGACTCCTGTCTCCGAGGGCGGGCAAAATTTTTCCCAAGGCCAAAGGCAGCTGCTCTGCTTAGCTCGAGCAATTATCACGCGGCCGAAGATTCTTATCCTGGACGAGGCAACATCAGCTGTCGATCGTACCACAGATGAGCTCATCCAGCGAGCGTTGCGTACCGTTGTCAAGCAGAACAGAACTACACTTCTTGCTGTTGCTCATCGGCTCAGTACAATCGCGGATTTTGATCGGATTGTCGTGATGGATGCTGGCCGGGTGGTTGAATCAGGGACACCAAAGGAATTACTCCAAGCTGGAAATGGAATATTTCGGGAAATGATCGAACAAGACACAGAGCGAGATGCTCTGAAGGGACTAATCCTAGCATAGGCGATTCCTTGTTATCCGTGCGTTACCATGCGCGCAAATATATGTGGCTCACAATATTATTCCAAGTTCCCATAAGCTCGACCGCACAATTGTCTTCGTCTATTCCTATGCTTATTCGGCCAACTACTGTATTCCTTAGAAAATAATATTCACATATGGGTATTTGTAAACGTCCTTCTCCCAATGGACCCTTTATCGCTTGCCGCTAGTGTCGCAGGCCTCGCTAGCCTTGCGCTTCAGATTGGCCCCTCACTGCGCGAATATTCCTCCGATGTTAGAGAAGCGCGAAAATATGTCTCACAATACTGTAATGAGATAGATGGACTGCTCGAGCTATGTTGGCAGTTGCAAATCTCTGAAGATGGACATTGCAGATGCGTTCAAGACCAGTGAGTCTGTTCTCTCTCGAACGGTGGTCTCATGCAAGGACTGTCTGCGAGCTGGCAAAATTGCTGTATATTCTCAAAGAAGAGAGGCATAGTGCTACCCATTGGATCAAAAGGATGAAGTGGCCTAAATATAAGAAGCAATTAGAGGACTCATTTCACGACTGGCAAGATACACGCAGATCTTCCAGTTTGCATTAACCGTAGGAGGATGGTGCGTACCCAATGGATTTTCTTTCCTACGCGAGTGGTTGAGCTGCTCGCTAATCCATAGTTACAGCGCCGTTATTCGCGTACTCCAGAGGATGTCACGGTGGTTCCCAAACTTCAACGCGATACTTCCAGCAAGCTTCATGATGTGGCCAAAGATATTGCGGCACTCAAGAGTATCCGTAGAATATCGCAATGAGGCGGATAAAACCGTATCAATGCTGGAAAGTGCAATTTCTTACGGTGCCCTCACAGCAGCTAATCGACATTCAAGAAAGTGTGGAAAGAATCAGAAGTCAGCTCACTGGTATGATCCACCTCTTTTATCCGTGAACTATCTGATTGTTACCAAATCGCCTAGATAGAGAGATCCTAAATTAGCTATCTTCCGAGCAAGGTGATGGAAGACACCATGGAGTCCGATATCGACGCACCCCTGGCACAGGAAGATAGGTCCTGAACGCTCCAGCTTTCCAAACGTAGATGAACAATGCATGCCCTGAGCAATTATTATGGATTGTGGGTGCTCCAGGGTGCGGAAAATCGACGTTGGTGTGAGTATGTTGGACATTGCACGTAAAGGTAATCCCATGCTAACTTTTCCCGTCTAGTTCTGGTCATCGACGAGCTGAAGGCTCTACAGACCAACACAAATGCACCGATTGCCTATTAGCATTGTGACTGTCGCACTCAGGTGATGTAGCCTTTGACTTTCGCCTTGGGCCATATTTTTCGGCTGCTGATAGAACGACTGTCAATACTGCCAGGATCACTCCGGGAATTGTTCAAGAGTTGTCGCTGGGAGGGCCGTGGTCCTTTACCATTAGAACTAGAACACCTTATCTGCGGCGTTCTGCCCTCTTGTTAGCCCTGCTATATCTTGGTCGACGCATTGGATGCGTTCAGCGTCAATGATCCGGCGCTGACAGCCCAGTTCGCGAGAGTACTGGACAGCTTCGCGGTGATGGGTGCTCGGGTTCTGGTAACAAGTCGGACTTCACCAATACCGTCTCTCAATGCTAGTCATATAATCGAGACACATACTGCTTCGAGCTCTGAATACGAAGTTTTGTGGCTCATGAGCTGTACGCAAACAACATAATGGTAGACATTTTGAACAGCGAGCTAGAGGCAGATATTATGAGTACTGTCACAGATCAAGCCCAGGGAATGTACGGTGACACTGTCACTTCCTACGCAATCCAGGGTGTTTTCAAGTGATCGAGCACGTCCTTTGAATTAGCGTATGGGTTCATACTGTCCTCTGGCATGCGAGGAGTGATGTGCTTGCGCGCTTCGCTTTCACAGCGACTAGCAACATATGCCATGCGGAGCTGGGGAGTATCAAAATGGTCTACATTTGCAGTGAGCTTCTGAGACATCAGGAGCAGCCAGTCTTCAAATTGGAGCTCCTTGCCATCGGTGGGCATCGCGGGATCAGGGATCTTGGTGGTCTTTCGGTTGCTGGTGACTACCGGCGTAGGCTCCCGGTTGTTGACATTGGTCAACTGCATGGCCATTTTTGCAATCTGGTTGGCATAGGCATCGCGCTCAGACCTAGCCTAAGCCAGCTCCTGATGCAGTGCTCCATCATCATCCTGGTTCTGCATTTTTTCCTTCACTTCATCCATCTCACGGCGCAGAAGTGTGAGCTCTCCATCCTTTGCCTGGAGTTGAGATTTTCCTCAGCAAGGCGGCCCTTCGCGATCTTCAAGGCAATCATGATATCATTGGTGGATAAATCGGAGTTTCTCGTACAGCCACTCAGGCTTCTCAGAGACAAACTGCAGGAACTCCTCAAGGGTCACCATGTGTTGTCCTTCACCCTCTTCTCCGTCAATGAAAATAGAGGCTCATCAGTTCTCTTGGTGGTTGTCATCGTTGTTTGTCTCGTCACGGTTGGTCCTAGAAGCGGCAACGGTATTGTTCGGTCAATCCATACTGGCCAGGGTCGTTGTATCGGTCGTTTTGTTGGTTGGTATCAATCTGATTCATTCAGTCGGTGTGGGGGACACGCTACTATGGTTTCATGATCACAGGATCGAACAAATAGAGTAGACGCGTGAAAAAGAGAGATTCAATATTATGTCACAGACTCAGAATAGTAGGTACTAACGAACTGAATTCTTATCTGAACTATTGTAGCCATCGACGAGAATATCGAATCTGGGGAGAGAAAAAAAGAGTAAATCTATCTAGATGATGAAAGGGTTTTATAGGCATTGCGTGACAGGGCTCATGCCCACGTTGACCTTCACTGCTTGACGCAGTGTTGACCCATCACAACTGAAAGACATCATTCTGGTGGATTAAGTGTAATTGTTGGATAGCAGAAGGGCTAAAGGCGGCATATGATCTTTGTCCATTGATTTGAACACGTCGTTCTTGTTGTCCGGCGTCGTGGGCAAGCAAGAGGGCTAAAGAAAAAGACATAGAATAATCAGGATGCCTTTAGAGCAAGGCCGGGCTCATAAATGTCAACTATAGTTCTTGGACAAAAGTCTACGTAATTTTCCGCAGCCACGAAAAAATATATAATCACCAAGACATTTCTTTTCCACATAAATCCACCAAACATCAATTCTTTTACTAGATAATC